CAAAACACACCTGCGTCGTTGCCCACCAGGGCCTCCCCCACGAAGAGCACCAGGTCGGGCGCATTAAGGCTGATCAGGTTGGAAAGCGCGCGCATGAGGGGCTCATTGTCCTGCATGCGCCCCGCCGTGTCCACCAGCAGCACATCGGTGCCGGCGCGCGCCGCGGCCTTGGCGGCCTCGGCGGCCACCTTGGCGGGGTCCTTCTCGTACCCGCGCTCGAACAGCGGGACACCCAGGCGCGCGCAGTGGGTCTTCAGCTGCTCCACCGCCCCAGAGCGGAAGGTGTCGCAGGCCGCGATCATCACGCTGGCGCCGTTCTGGCGCAGCCAGTACGCCACCTTGGCCAGGTTGGTGGACTTGCCCACACCGTTGACGCCCACGAACACGATGGTGTATGGGCGGCCGCGTGCCTGTGGGATGTGGGCGGGATGGCGGTTCCAGAAACGGGGAAACAGGGAATCGATGAAGAGGGACAAGTATCATTCCGTCGCGCTGTGGGCGATGCACAGAATGCACACTGCATGCACCCAGCTCAGCTCGACCACCACCACCCCTACAAACCCGATCCCCCCGCCGCCTCGCCTTGGCCTCGCGGACGCCGCGCAGGACGTCGATGCTGCGCTTGGGGGTCAGGATGCGGGTGAGCGCCGCCTCCACTGCCTCGCGCACGACGGTGGAGACGCGGGTGAAGGAGCCCAGGCGCCGGCCCTCCAGCCCCGCCGCCACCGACTCGCACACCTTCTCCGCGATCTCCTCCGCCACGTTGCGCTCCATGAGCTTGGTCTTCAGCGCCGTGCGCGCCGAGGCGATGTCCTCGCGCGTGAGGCTGGACGTCCCCGCCACCGACACGCCCATGCTGCGCACCAGGGAGGAAAGGAAGCCCGTGGCCGCGGGCTTCTTGGCGGCGCCAGAGGCGCCGGTCGCCTGGAGGTGGAGGGGTGGGGATGGCAATCGGCGTCGACCCGATCCGCAGCAGTTGCCCTGCTGGACCGGGCCGCTCCTCATGCGCAGCGTGGCCAAGACAAGTCAGAGGCACGCGGGCGTGGGCACCTTGGATGGGCATGGAGGGCGCTCCGGTCACCCAGCCTCACACACCGCCGACAACGACCCAAGCCAGTGAAACAGGCCGACGCCTCTTGCGTGCTCTTCTCACCTCTTCCTCCACGTCATCAAACACCACTTCCTCGGCCACGTCGATCAAGCTCAGCTTGCTGAAGTCCGCCACCGTCTCGCTTTCCACGTCGCTGGGCTTGTCCTCGGTGAAGTCCAGGGCGGCGGCATCCACACGTGGCTCGCCTGGCACAGGAAAGCAGGAGCGGGACAGGTGGGCGAGGGACACTTTCTACGATGGAAAGAATCCCGCCCTCCACAAGTGACAGCTGGGCCAGATAGGTATCCGGGCGACACCATGGGGTGACACGCGTAGAGGAGCTAACGCAACGCACACGATGCCAGTACATCGCGAGGTGGTGGTCCGATCCGGGCACGGAGTGAGCCTTCTCCCCGCGTCAGCCCACCTGAGGGATCGTTCCAGGTGCGGGCGACCTTGGGCTTGGCCGCCGCTTTCCCCTTGGGCTTGGGGGCGTCCCTGAGCTCCGCGCGCTTGGCAGCCTTTGCGCCGGGGCCGCCCCGCTTTGCCAGCCGCTTGGAGAGCAGGGCAGCATCGAAGCCGTTCGAGAGGTGGCCCTCCGACTGCGTGTGGGGGTCCTGCGGGGCGAGAGGCCTTGCGTTGGGACACGGCGGCCCGGTCTGCATGTGCACACACCTGGTCCCTGCACCTTGTCTCTCCAGAACCTCCCCTGCAGGTCCGGACCGCTCACCTCCTCACTCTGCCCGGTGAGGTCTGTGGCATCTGTCTGGGAGGTGGCCATATCTGAGGCCCTGATCTTGGAGTCTGCCTCATCCTCGTCGCCATCCGTCCTCTCCGACTGAAATGCGGCCTGCAGGCAGGGCCGGACCTTGCAGCCTCACATCACCGTATGAATGGCTTGCACCAACCGCTCACCACATGAGTCACCTTGATCGGACCTAGCAGCGGCGCCGGCGAGGCCCAGAGGAGACCTTGCCAACACATCAAGCTACATACCGAGCACCCTCGCAACTCCTTCCCACGCCCCCGTGCGCACTGCATGCCCAGGTGTCGGATGGGAATGGTGGAGTGCCCCAGGGGCCCCCGCCCCACTCCTCGCCCTCTGATCGGCACGCTCCTCGCTCTCCCGCAGCAGGCGCTTGAATGTGGGCTCAAAGTCCGCATAGCTGCGGCAATGGAGCAGGGCAGTACACCGGTGAGGCGTTTCCTTCCTGTGATCGCTGAAAGCAAAGCCGGCCTCAACCACTTCCCTGCAATGCTTGTCAACATGGCGCCATGCGCCAATCTGATCGGGCTCACCCACCCTCTGCTGTTACCATCCGCATCGAGAAAAATATGACATTCCTCACCAGCTCCTGTATCTCCCCTCGCACCTGAACTTGGCAGGCTGGTACCGTGGAGAGAAGGAGGCGTTCACCTTCCCCAGCAGCTCATCAACATATGCAAGCTTCAGTGCCTTCTGGTAGACGGCGACAAATACAATGCCCAGGGCCTGGAGCGTGAGAGGATGATGTGGGGCGAGGAATGAGGTAGTGGATCGTATCAATTCCTATCTGAAGCGCAACCCTGCAGTAGACGAGGCCTCAAGACTTGATTCCTGCCAATATGACCTCACATTGTTGAGCGCCCACTTCAGGTTGTAGGCGGCCCCCGAAGGGGAAGTGTAGGAGAAGGTGGTGTCCCCCGTGCGCTCCTCCAGCAGGCATTCTCGAATGAGAGCGTTCACGGGCTCGCCCTTGACGGTTGTGAGGGACAGGGCCCACAGCAAGGCTCCACTCTTGGTGAAGATGCAGAAGTAGTCCAACATCCGGACGCCGCGTTACAAGCCACGCCTGGCTTAGGTCTAGGAAGACCCTTGATTCCCCAGGAATATGCTGTGCAACTGCCCGATGAGATGTCGTGAAAGGGACCGGGTGTGGGTCTCCTCTTCCCAAGTCACCTGTTCTGGGGGGTCGGTGGGATAGCTAGAGGGCGCTGCAGGCCTGTGCTTTTAGCTAGATGGTGTCGATGTATCGCACGCAATACAACTCATTCACTGCAACGAGAATAGGATGTGACGGCGATGCAGCGTCGTCCGGGCGGGAGCTTTTCGTTTCGTTGTTGTTGCGAATCGAGGCAGGTTCTTTCTTCCCCTGGTTCCGACCCTCATGAACGCCACGGGAGAGTCCTCGGGGCCCCGTTCAGCTCGCATGTGGGTGCTTGCGACGAACCCCTCGACACCCCAGCCCGTTGATGTAGGATTTCACCATGTTGGTCTCCCTTCCCCGCTCCTGAGCATCAGTGTGCTGGAGATGTACGCGACTTTGTGACCGAGTCCCTGTTCTGTGACCCTTGACGTGTGGGCGGTCCGGCGGAAGCCCTTCCCAGAATGGTCCACACACGTCCTTGAGGGTTTCGGGCTCCTTAGAGCGCCGTCCTTGGCTCGCGCCCGCTCCTCCCCCTAGCGCGGGATGGCTCAGCGCAACCTTGTCCACCTGCTTGTGCAGCGTGAGAGTGGCCAGGCAGCCGTCCCAGGTCGCCTCCCGCAGCCTTGTCAGCCCCTGGATGAAGAGTTCTCGACATGGAAGGAGGACGACTTCGTGAACCACTGCTCGGCCCAGTATTGCGCCTTCAGCCCTGCTCCACGCTCCACCATCGCCGTGGCCTACAACGCGGACGGCACCCTGCTCGCATCCTCCCAGTGAGTCGAGATAGTTTGTGTTGTATCATTGCCATGCTCTCAAGGGCCCGTTGTACCCTGCCACGGCCCCAGGCCCGTTTGGCATCCTGCGGTCTGGATGGGCCTTTTGTAAGGGTGGGGGGACTACAGGGCCAACTCCCTTGGCTCCCGTGGGCCTCAGCCCCCCTAACCCCCCTCCCCTTTCCAGCGGCGACCACACGGTGAAGATCAGCTGCTGCCGCACCAACCTGGTGCTGCGGTCGCTGGCCGGCCACAGCCGCACCCCCTGGGTGGTGCGCTTCCACCCGCGCCTGCCGCACCTGGTGGCTTCCGGCTCCCTCGACCACCAGGTCCGGCTCTGGAATGCGCACACTGGCGAGTGCCTGGCCATGTTCCAATTCGGCAAGCCCATCGCCTCGCTGTCCTTCCACATATCGTCCCCTGTCATCGCTGTGGCCTGCGGACACAGGGTAAGT